TTCACCGTAGACTCCGGGCCAATGAAAAGACGTAACCGTCTACAGTGACCGCAGACTTTGCTACCGTAGACTCGACACATTTTGAACAGGATTTGTTTGTTTGTTTGTTTGTTTTTTAAATGGACAGAGTAGTGGAACTTTCTTACAGATGTAAACAGTTTAGCAGTGGTTTGTAAAGAAAGATAAGCCATTTGAAACAAAAACAGGACTGTATCTGTGACAACGTGAGCCCTCTGGCTTTACCTGTCTTTCATTCAAATGGACAGATTTGTCATTCCAATAACTACTGTACGTGCTTTTGTCTTCTGTTGTGCAGGTTGGGCTCAAAGGCAAAGAACATGAGAGGAATTTTGGCTGAATTCTCAAATTAAGCCCGTATGAGGTGGTGCTCCACCATGGATGAGTGAATTCAAAATCAGTCCTGAACAAATATTTAACACTAAACAGCTGCAACACAATTACAGTTGCAAAGAAAACAAACTTCCTCTGCAGCATCACCAAGAGACAGCTATCCAGTGAGTTGCATAATTAAAAAAAAAAAAGTGAAGAATGTATTTATTCAGTTAGTGCAAACAGCTCATTGCTGAGGAGAAGTCCATACTGCTGAGTCATGCAAGTAGTCAGCATAGACCGGAGCTTTTAAAAAAGACACAGCGTGCAAAATGATAACTGAACTAACAGGCAGATTCTGGACGCTTTAATATCCCCTGAAAGAAAATATGACATTGCTCTTTGATAGAAATGTCACAGGCTGTCACTGAGTAGTTTACTGACGGCTTTTCTGGTCTTCTCACCACGTGCATGCTTATCTTAAACATTATTTATTTAAGCATGGTCATTTAAGTTAATTTCTTTAAAAAATATACCCAGAAAGCAATCAAGGAAATAAAACTTTTACCTGCTACAATTGGGACTGATTCTATACTGTTTACATCTCAGAGTGATCCCAGTGAGAAAACTGAGAGCAAAATAATCGATGGAAATAAAATAGAAGAATATAATAGCCATAATAAAAT